CTGCCAATGTGCCATGTATTAATAGACTTCATACGGGTACACTCAGTGATGTTGCCTGCAGTCTAACGTACTGCCTCTGCTGTAAAAGTGTTTATATGACCTAACCAGTTCCTTCTTTTCTGTTGTTTTTTGGCTTTAGGTTTCATTACAATGACGCCACAGCTATTCATCAACTACAAAATGAAGTCTGTGGCCCACCTCCCATGGAGGATGCTCACCTACAAGGCTCTCAATACCTTTATTGATGACCTGTTTGCCTTCGTCATCAAGATGCCCATGATGTATAGGATAGGATGCCTCAGAGATGGTACGTCTTCTCTGATCGAGTATTTTTCTATGAATTTACTTGGATCAGGGGAAGTTACATTATCACCTAAATCAACCATTATAAGTAAAAGCTGTTTTGTCAACTTCCTCTGCCCACATTGAAGAGGAGCCATTTTGAGTTTGTAGCTCGATGAAGATGAGCTCAGTCATGCAGTGTTTTGCTGGAGGTGGTTTCAACTCATTGCTCAGCATGGTGGCAGCTAAAATAGGCAGGCAATTCATCCAGGGAGATTTGTTGTTTGTTTAAAGGAAAGGCTGTTCTCCTTTCTGGCCCTTCTGTCTTGACCTGAGCACACTGACCTCAGAGGAAATGTAGAATCATTGTCACTCATGGGATTGTATTTGGACCAACTGTCCAAATCACCACCAACCTTTTGATGTCTGTCTCAGCATGTCTTATAAAAGATCCTCTAACTCCACCTAGTGTCAGCTCACTAGATCTCACTGATTTGCTCAGTGCCCTTTGATATTACCAGACAATTTATTAGGGGCTGTTTTATTATGATTAAATATGAAGACGTATTATATTTAACCAAGCTAGAGTAAGAGATTTTAACACTAAATAGCACTGCATGGAGTAATTATCTTTATTTTACTTAACATGATGTAAGAGGTCTGCTAGTTTGATCCATATGTTTTTTTCATTTTTTAGGCTTTATCAGTGACATTGAGAGTTTTCAGCTCATCAAGTGACTTCTTTAAATGTGTATCGAGCAGCTGTTGATGTTTTTTTTCCCTCAGTGGTCAGTGAAGTGGGCACAGTCTGTCAGTCTTGATGATATGATGGTGGAAAGTGACCCTTTTATTAAAGGGAGATCTAATAGGGGTTTTTTGGTAGGGGATGTCTGGGTTAATGGATATAGTGTTGTTTGAGCCATGTATACAAATATTAGTAAACAATTTATATTTTGCTGTTTTTGATTTGCTAACGATAACCTGTGTTGCAGTTTGATTGCGGTAGGCTTAATTAGGACCAATAATGACTACAGTCTGCTCTGGATTCTGATTGGTTAAAATGTGTAACGAGGTATCTGTGTACATTTATTTTAGTTTAAGCTACGGAGCCTGGAGGGCACACTGTGTTTACTGGTCTCACCATGCTTGTCTAGCATGTTAAAGTATTTTGTTACCGTTTTTTCTTTTTTTGTTTTGAATGAGTTCTTTAGTAAAAGGTTGAAACGAAGAACATGGACTGTGGAGTTTTATTGAAGCTCGCACTTTACAACTAGATGAAATGGACAGTGCCGCACTTACGAGCTATATTGCCAATACATATTCATTTTAACCCTCTCACAACCAACTGTGCAATCGTACAACTGTCTTGAGTCTTTTAATAATGTGAATGCTACTAAGTTGTAAACATGGGAAAGGTTTTTTACACGTTTGATTGAACCACTATAACAAGGTCGGTTGTTACTTGATGGCAAATAGTTATTTAATTACTTGTTTCTCATTGGACTAACGTCTGTTTCCTCTCCTGCAGATGTGGTATTCTTCATCTACCTTTACCAGCGCTGGATCTATCGGGTTGATCCCAACAGGGTCAACGAGTTTGGCACCAGTGGAGTTGACCACGACCAGAACAACACAGCAGATGCTGCTCCCGCCGTGGCCGCCGCCATCACAGACAAGCCAGAGGGGGAGAAGAAGAACGATTAAAAAAAAAAGACTGCGCCCTTATCTGCCTCCCTGGCCCTCACTGCTGGGGCGAAGAGGACTTGTGGAAATTAGGCAGGGAGAGGAGTTGTCGTTTAGCTGTCATGGACGCCGCTACAAAAAAATGCAGTTCAACTGTTCCCTCTGATTTCTGTGTGGATCCACAGAGAATCATATTCAATGTAGACTTGGTAAATTCTTATTTCTGTTTCCCGCCCATCCCCGCCCTCTCGTTTTGCGGTTCAAGTGAAGTAAAACAAAACGTGATGTACTGTATTCTGTATGATTTATCAGAGGGTATCAGTGTCCTGGAGTAGAGGTTGGGAGGGGAACGGGTTGCAGTTATACTATGTCTTTTTTTATACAGGGAAGAAAGAGGCCAAGTGCAACTTTTGTTCTTTGTGTAGATTCCTTGTGAAATTTTCTTTTCATTCCATGTGAGCACCGTGTTTCGGATTGCCTGGAAACTGGTGAGTAGTGCTGGAGGAAACTGGAAAGGTCCTGAGCCATGATGGAGGATGAAGAAGAAAGGTGGTGAGATGGATGACCCTACAGGACACTACCCACAAAACAGTGACTACTACCCTCAATTTTAAACAAATGGTTAATATTCTAAACTTGAACATAAAAAAATAACAGCCTTGTTGGTATTAATATAAATATATTAATATTGTCAATTACTTAATTTTTGTTTTTCAGTCACTGAAGCATTCTTTTGTATGTCCTCAAACTGTACAGAATCTCAGCTTGTCATGTTAATAATACAGATGTCAAAACTGTCTAGCAATACCTAATTTGCAAGTCTAATTTTTATTTTCCCCTCTCGGCTGGATGTCTGATTTTCAATTTTTTTCACACTCCAAGCCAAATCACCTTGACAGACACAGTGGAGACAGTCAGGTGTGTACTGGAAGAATTACAGTGTCTCTTGTTCTGAGTTTGGGTGCTGTAAATCCTGAAACAAAGAAGGTTCCATGTTGGTACATATTAAATTTTGAGCATTCATGTTTATAGTAAAACTTAAGTGTGATTTAAAATGTCTATGCAAAGCTTTTTTGATTTACTATTTTTATTTACTGCACTGGGTCCAAGAACAACATTGCATGAAACCTTTCATTTTTCACATTGATTTTTATTGATGTTACAGGAAATATACTTTATTTGTGTGCTTATGAAGCATGCACAGGCCTTTGTACTCTTTCACCCTAAAGGTCTGAGTTTAGGGCTGCAACTAATGCATAGTTACATTATTTTCCCCTGATTAATTGTTTTTGTTTAGGCAATTGTGAGAAATGCTCAATGACTTCAAATTGCTCATGTTGTCCAACCAAAGGTCTAAAACTCATAGGTTTAGTTTACAAAGAAATAAAAATGACAGATGCAAAAATACTTGCATTGAAGAGACTGAAACCAGGAAATATTTGGTATTCTTGCTTGTTAAATGAACTCAACTGATTCAGTCGGTCTTTCCCCCGTATGTGTGGAAAGATGAGAAGCTTGGACGTTTAGACATTATAGTTTGTAATATTCATTTCTATAATGAAGCAAAATAACAGCAATTTAGTCTGGTCATCAGGTTAGGGGTTGAGTAATGTGAGGCCAAGTGGCAGTTTTTACTTTAGCCTACACAAATGATGCATCTACCAGGTGACAGGGTTCATATGTTAAAGATGGTGTCACTTTCCTTCATGAATCATGTACAGAAACAACAAGCCTAATACTGGGGCGAACTGAACCTGCAGATTTTTAAGAGAATTAGACCCCAACCCAGAATGAAACAGACAAAACAATTACAAACGGCTTGGCATTTTTGTCCCTTTGTAGTACTGGTGTTGGGTTACTTTGTGGTCACTTTTTGTGTCTTTGTGGTTGTTTTGTGTTGCTTGGCGTCTCTCTCTTTGTGGCCTTTTTTGTGTCTTTACGGTTGTTTTGGAAATTTTAAACAGTTTTGTGTCTCTTTGTGGTCGCTTGTTATCTCTGTCATTGTGGATCTCCTGATGTGGCCTCTGTGTGTCTTCATGGTCATGTTGTATGTCTCTGCAGTTTTTCCATCTCTGTAGTAATTTGAAAGGCTTTCTAACACAAAATATTAAGTCAACTCTAACAGAGGCTCTGGTCCAGGACCTATTTTGCTCTCCTACCTTTTGAATCATCCCAGGCTCTCTGAAGATTCACTCAGACTTTTTGCACTTTTGAAACAGTAGGAAGTACAGAGTCAGACTGCCCAGCTGTAGTGTCACATATCTTTCTGACAGCTCCAGCTTATCAGCAACACCTCTGCAGCTGATGATTATCTATCCATTATTGTTTTTATGGCTCTGCCTGAATCATTGCTTCTTCTAAACGGCTCAGCTTTCGCTTTCCTTTTCCGTTAACTCGTCTATATGAACAGTAGGTGTCACTGCTGCGCCCCGTAACCTCAGCAAAGGGTGAAAATAGAAACTTTTTTAAGGTCAATTACTACACGTGCATGGCGGTTGATGGTGTAGATTGAAAACCGTAATTATTCATACAGTTAGGAATTCCCGCTTCTCCAATTTGTAGAAAAAGTGAGACGCAGCAGCAGGATAGCCGCATGATGCAACCAGGAGAAATCCCTAATTTATTTATCGGGGAAACGCTGCCTCCTGCATTTCGGCACTGCGAGTTGGGATGGAGGCTCATTTAAATAGTTGTCAATTGTTTTACCTTGCATTTGCATTGCATTTGCAGTGAAGCTGAGTAAAAACAAAAAAGCACTGAGGCGTGCGGTAAGATTACTTAATGGAAAAGAGTGTCGTTTTTTCGGTCCGGAAGTTCTTCTGAGATGAAAACTGTGGATATTCAAATTAGTAAAACATTGCGTTAAGCATAATAAGGCTACGGAGGGGTACCTGGTGTCCCAGGGGGGTTTCCCGTCAGAGAGTCGACGTGACGTTGAGGGGATTTCCACACCCTGAACCAGCCAATCAGCAGAGGCTGTTGCGGAAACAAAACAGGCAAATAATGCTCTAGACATCATTCGAGATATGCTTTCAAGTCGGTGTGACGCTTTCTCACGAGTTGGCACAAACACTCAGAGCTGCTGTCTCGTCTGACGAGTACTTATCCGAGCTGTTTTAAAGTAAAGAGAGAAGATTTGACCGAGAAGAGACGCCTGAATACCGGGATTTATTCGGTTTGGAAATAATTCAAGGACACGACAGCAGAGTTCATGGTCTGAAAGGACTCCTTACATGCGATGAAAGACATGGACATCGTCAGCCATCTTCAACCTACCTCGGGTAGGTTTTAAGTGTTAGTTCTTATGTTTGTGTGTTTGTGTATATATGTGTGCGTGTGTGTTTGTGTGTGAGAGCTGACATCATCCTCAGGCATGTGATTTGTCAGAGCAGAGGAGCCAACACCCATTCCCGGGACCAGAGCGCTCCTACCCGGCTCCTGCGCTCCCACTGTTACTGCTCTACTTTGTGCAAGTTCAACATTTACAACCACAACTGTTGTGTTTTATTGTGGTGACTGACAGTTTGCTTTTTGTTTGTCCTGCAGAGCGAGGGGTGTCAGACTTCGGTGAGTATGGACTCACCGAGTATGAGTATGGTGAGTCGTGCATGTGTATGTTGTAAGGCAAAGTATGACCTAAGTTGACCTTGTGCAGAAGGAGAAGTAAAGCATCATTAGTATTTCTGCTTCCTTATCTCGTGCTGTAATGTTTCACACACAGCCTCTAGTTAGGAAGGTGCAGAACTAAACAAATCAATGAAACACAAGACAAAATAACATTTCAGAAAACTTAGCAGCATGATTAAGCATTCAGTTTAAAATATAAATTGCATAAAAAGCTGAAACTTACCTCTAAGTCTATGAAATGTGAGGAAAAAGGTTAAAAAGTCCCGTCACAATTCCCAAAAACCCTAAGTTTATTCATTCAGATTATTATGATTGGCTTTCAAAACCTAGAGATAATCAGTTACTGTCACGTTAAGTATGAGAAAACCAGAAAATATTCATAATTTTTCACATTCTTTCTTTAAAAAAATTACTTAAACAATTACTTGATTATAAACATTTGTTGCTGATTATTGGGCCATTAGCAGAAAAGTAGACTGCTTATGCCTGCTCCAAATGCATTTGACATGTTTTTTGTTAATATATGGCACGGCTGCAGGAAACTCTAGTTTCTGTTTGGTTTGCAAGTGTCAGACACACCTCAACCACAGGTCTAAATCAGAATGTAAATTTAACTGCAAGTAACCATGGCAGCAAGACCTGCGGTCCTTTTACTGGTTAACTTTCACTGGAAGGTAACCAAACACCCTTACTCGAGTACTGTGTTTTAGTATACTAGTGGTACCTTGAAACTGCAGGCTGCTTGAGAATTTCCATTTTATGCTACTTATACGTACGTCTACTCCATTACATTTCAGAAAGAGAGATTATACATTTCTTCCTCCTCCTCTTCCTTTTTATAGCTGGTAAAAGACTGTATTGTATTTTAAAGGTTAAAGGTTAAATCAGTAGTCTTCAACCATTCTGATGTGAGAGTCTACAGTAAAACAGTGTCTAGTTGTCACAGTTGTCATTTGCTCCAGTAAAGAGTGACTTCCTCTCTCAACTTCTCAGATGGTTTAATTTAAATAACCAAGTAAAAATTCTCAACCAAATTAAAGATTAGAGAAAAGCCCAAATGAATGAATATGAATTAGTATTTTAGAACTTTGTTTTTTCTTCTTTTCTCTCACATTAATCATCTCACAACCCCTTAGATTTCTTTGGGGACCCTATGAAGGGGCCTGACCCCTTAGCCTGGGACTCACTGGACTAAACTACTAATAAAATAGTTAAAACTTCAGAACAAGTACTTTTACTTTGATACTTCATGTGTATTTTACTGGCAATACTCCTGTACTTTTGCTTGTTATGAAAGTAAACTTTAACTTGCAATATATTTTGAAACTATGGTATTGGTATTTTTACTTGACTGAATGATCTGAGTACGTCTTCCATCCCTGGGATTCAATTAACTCCTTGAACACAATGTGTTATCTTTTTTTTGGTAACTATTCATGGTATTAACAGGATAAAGCACTTTGAAGTGTCCTGATACAGAAGATAAAGGATAGTGTGGAGTAAATGACACCTAAGTTCATATATACAAAAATAACAGTACCGAGCGTGACACATATGTAATATGAATACAGAAATACAAAATACTCGAGCACAGGGATTTCTTCAGGAAAGGGTTTAGCCAAGGTGGCAATACACTTGGATCCTGATGAATCATGTCTCGTGATTAGTTTAGTTATTATATCCTATTTTCAATATAATAGTATAACTCCAAATAATCTAAGACCTGGAAAGAACTATATGATTTGGTTGTAATTACAAGTAAGTTCCTGTAATTGAAACCAAACTAAACGATTCTTTCCAGGAAATTTTCAGGAAATGATTAAGTAATAATGGGACTGTAAAATAAAGTGCTACCTATCATTTTATATCCTTTGTTTTTAGCCAAACTTTTTCATTAACATAGATTTTTTGCTTGTTTTCTGTATATAAAGTGTCCTTGGGTTACATGAAAAGTGCCTAACATTTATTTTACTTTATTACCAGTCATGAAATCTGGATTAGAATAATTGTTCTCAGACATTGTAGATTAACATGGGTTCAGTGCTAATTTTCCATTTGAGATGCTATTTGTTTGTCAACTGTATATATATATATATATATATATATATGTATATGTATTTTATAGATCTCATTGATGAAATCATCAAAGAGGACAGTGAGCAATCAGCTGCCCTCCCTAGACCTTGTCCCCCTCCCACTGACCTCTCTGAGCTGCCGCGCAGCCAGCACCCCAGAACGTCGGTGCGACAGAGCTCCTCCCAGTCTTCAAATCCAGTGCTGGTGTCGAGGGGCACTGCACATCTGGTGAGTGGGTTCAAAAACATCCTTGAGTTTGCTCTTAGAGAGTTTTGTGTATTTGTACCAGTGCTGTCATTTGTGTTGTTGTGTCTGGTCTTGTACGGTTTCTACCTCAGTAAGTGGTTTCCTGAGTATTTGCAACATCCAACAGTCAAGCATGAAGGTGTTTCTTTCAGGTGTGGGTAGTGTGCTAAAAGAAAGAGTAGCCAGTTGTGGGCAAATGGGGCAATTTATTACAGGGTAACTGCAGGTGTTGAAAAGTATTTTTTTGTCTTTCGCAAAAAACTGACCTTGTGAAATTCATATCTATCCATCCATCCATCCATTTTTTGCTGTTTATCCAGGTCCAGATTTAACAAAGGTTGTTTGATTAATTAATGATATTTCCTATGATGTGATAAATATTTTGATATACTGCTGGGAATTAAAAACAGTAGCAAATTTGTGGTATAATTATCAGTAAATTCATGCACTTTGTAAATAATTTTGGGCCTTTTCATCCCAGCTGTTTGTCACTGATTATAGTTAATGTATTAAATTGTGTTCAATGGGATGTCTTCAACCTGGTGAACCCTGCAGAAACCTTGTTAGTTATACACATTAGCTCCCTTTCCAAAAGATTATTGCTCATTGAGTATCACAGAAGTTGTAAATAAGACTGAATTCAGAGGTCATTTTAAAAACGTAATTCAGGCATCTTTCTCTGCTACCAGAACTGTCTTTAAGCAGCTCGTCGTTATCTAAGCTAAACGACAGTAAAGCTAAAAACAAATAGTTGATTTAATAGAATTGTTGATTTTTCAACAGATTTAGACAATAACTTCTGACAACAACTCTTATAATTAATTGTTTTTCAGCTTTATATCATTGTTAATTGAACATCTTTGAATGTTGGACTATTGGTTGGACAAAACAGTCTGTCAGACAAACATGTCAAGGATGTTACCTTGGGCTCTGAGAACTTGTAAACAGTATTTCTCAAGATTTTCGGACATTTTAAAGACCCAGAGATGAAATAAAACAACAATCAGCAGCTTCAGTACTGATCATAACAATCATGAGTTGCAACCCCAGACCACATACGTCCATCTTTGCTATCTAGTAATTGATCTGTGCGGGTACAAACGTTCACATACAGTGTGATACAGTCAGTTATTTCATCGATATTGACTTCATGTTGCTGCTGAAAACTCATGAGTGTTACCCCCAACAATAGAAGGGATTCCTTTCTGTTTTAGTGAGGAGGTTTCTGAAGTGTTAAATGTTTGTGGAATAAACTGCAGTGTTGTACATGTGCAGCCTGCAGATGGGTCTTTTGTTGTTGTGCAGAGCAGCAGTTAGGCATCCAGGCAGGTCAGGCTCTTCCCATAAAGCACGTGGTTTACAGACGGCACAGAGAAGTGTTGTAATCTCATAAGAGTGTAGTGACGCAGTAGCCTGCACAGACGGGTATAAATGCTTTAGGGCACCAGAAATCTGCTTTAACTCTTTGTTAGCAAATGATCTACACATGTGCGATTGCTGCATTTGGGAGTTTTTTGTGTGTAAACCGTTTGATAAAAAGTTATGAGTGTTTGCGGCCTGTGAGAGGCTGACACACCTCCCCAGCATGCTTTTCTCTGGGTGGAGGCAGAAAGCAGAGGAGGGGGAGGAGCGGTTAGACGACTTGGAAGAATTGTAATCTGACTCCTACTTTCAGTTTGCTGTCCTCTCTGTTTACAAGCCAAACCCAACGCGGGTTAGAGGTTGGATTCTTCGCGCCACACTGCTTCTTCAATTGGTCGATCTACATCATGTCTAGCTGACTTCCTGTTTCCTGTTCACTGGCTCAATCTGCCAGGCTTTTGTTTAGCTCCAGTGGTTTTAAGGTCGAACAGGTATGTCTAGATTTACACGCTAACACGGTAGCAGACATCTGTGGCTCAAAAGGATATTTTGAAACATGATCTCATGCAGAGGCATCATCCAGATCTCTGCGGCAACGGTTTAATTAGCCCTCAGCCTGATTTAACTGCTACACGGGTGCGAAAGGAGTCAACTTCTTTACTTCTTTGTTCCCTGCAGGTTTGATGATTCATCTTTTGTAAAACTGATGCTACAGAATAAGGACTAAAACTTTGGTTTGTGATAGTTTTACATTAAGGCCACTGGAGGCCCTACTGGACACAAACATTTGATTGATGATAGGCAGATAGAGAGAGAAAGTAAAAGCAGAACAGAGAGATGGGTATTAAACACCAAGGCAGTGTGGGAGCGGAAAAGCTTCATGGCCTGTGGTCTAACGGAAAAAAAAGACATGAAAATGCAAGGAGGAGTCAAAGAGCACATGGTTAACTCTATGCACTGATACAAAGCACATGTATGAAGGAAAAACATGTATTGACTCATTTTGCTGCTTGTTCCACTGTAGAAAGCTTCACCTCCACTGTCATCTGCTATAATGGATGTCAGACATCTGGTTCTCTAGTATATACTTTGAAAACATACCTGTGACTGATCAGTTTCCTCTGATTGTAAGTTGATGTTTTCTAATGTTAAGGGGAAGCCAACACAAAGTACCCAGATGTTTTACTTAATTAAAACTACAAATACAAGAATGTAAAAATCCCCTTTTAACAGTAAAAGTACAGTATTAAGTAAGTATTATCAGCTCCTCCAAAGAGTCACAGACCTGAGGGGTTGTGAGATGATTAATGGGAGAGGAGAGACTTTTGACCTTTTCCTTGCCTTTGGTATCTCTGTCTATGAAATGTCAAAAAAATGTCAATATTTGTTTTCCCAATTTAAGGAGGTGTCTTCAAATGTTTGTTTTGTTTGGCCAAAAGTCCAAATTACCCTCAACCCCCCAAAATACTCAGTTTACAATGATGAAAGAAAAAGAAAAGCAGGAAAAAAAGCCAAATATTTGCAGAATTCAGGCTCTCATTTTTGCTTGAAAAATGACTGGGGATTGACTAATCGATTAATCAAACTGCTCATTAAACTGACAAATCTGATATTTCTGGCCGATTTCAAGACCATCGTATTTCTATGGTTAATGACTCCCCTCTTAATTGTGTCTGTTCTTAGCCTTAAACGTTTGTGTTGTTTCCTCTGCACCTTTTTATGCTGCTGTCTTGACCAGGTGTTTGTTCCAACAGTTTTCCAACCTCAGTGGGACTCAATTAAGTAATGTTGTGAGTAAGGTTGTGGTGTTATTTTTCTTTCCACAGCCCCCTCGCAGTTTCCCTCAGCCCCTGCTGCAGATGAGCGATTCCAATGAGATGACGTCGGCTCCTCCTTCCCGGGCTGCCACCTCTCTAGCCAGTTCCTCTCGCCGTGGTCAAGGCTTGTGCCAACCCACCTCTAGGAGCTCCAGCGGTGTTTCCTCTCAGAACCACGGAGACACTGACATGCTGGAGCGGATTCTAGAGAAGCCTAGACTGGTGGTGGTGGAGGAGCCCAAGGACAGAGGCATGAGGTTTCGGTACGAGTGTGAAGGACGCTCAGCCGGTAGCATCTTGGGCGTGTCCAGCACTGACACCAACAAGACTCAGCCTGCAATAGAGGTACAGTCATCATGAAGTTGATACAAGTTAAATTTGGTTTTCGTTTTTGACCCTAAAGGGGGTTTACCAGCTCTTAGAGACCAGCAAATTTTACCTACAGTTGATTTTATTTGATGTTGATACTTAAACCCCCCGTGCAGACGTTTGTAGAAGGGCGTTGCTGGAGGGATGTGGGTTGTTGGAGTCAATTAGAAAGTCCCCACAAATCCCATCTTGAATGTGGTTGAAGATGGGCGGTTTGACCCTGCTTACATACTAACAAACACTCCTACACACTCATCTCCTCTCCTGCAAACACCATCACTCAATAAGGAAGACATTGTTTGGAGAAATTAACAGAAAAAAAGTTTGTGCATTTATGCAGTTTGTGTATTTTAAATGTAGTTAGTCAAGCTTAACATTTAGGTTAATTTGGCAGGTTTGATTTTTTTTTTTTTTTTTTGGCATGACTGCCTGTTTTTCATCTTTTATTCTCCTTGATGAATTTGGTTGAGGGGGAATGATTATTATCCACAGTACACTGTGGAAAAAGGCTTTTAAAGCTGGTTGGTGATAACACACAGAACCCAGTGAAAAAGGAGGGGAGAACATTTGATATGTGCAAAAATACAGGAGCAGCACAAAGAAAAATAAAGGCTTGGATCGGCAGCTACTCTGGATTAGAGCTGTAACGATTAATTTATTAGTCAATCATAAAAAAATGAATCTGCAACTATTTTGACGATTGATCATTTCAGTCGAGGGCTCTAGCAAATGATTAGTTTCATTGATTAATGTACTGATTATTTTCTTAAAGAATTATTTTATCTGTAAAATGTCAAAATAACATCTTCAAGTGACTTTTTTTGTCCAAAACCTAAAGATATTCATATTCAGTGTGTACTGTGATGTATGACAAAGGAAAGCATCACATATTTGGCTGTTTGACTGAAAGAGATTATTCAATTATAAAAATAGTTGCCAATTTCTGACAATTGACTGCCATATGTCACAGTCAATTAAGAATCATTGGATTTGCATTTTTGGGAATCTGATGGCTTTGATATTTCATAGACAAAACAATTAATAGAGAATGAAAATAAGTGTGAGATGCAGCCCTATGCTGGACTGCAATGTGTGTCACTCTACGTCAGGCAACATCTTGTGCATGTTTTAATATTTAACATATTAGAATTTTACTTTACTGAATTTGATGGCTCTCCTCCTTATTTGTCTGTTTGAGAAATGATCATTATCATTATTTTCATCCTGCTGTAACACTTGTCATGTCATGTTTGTGTGTGAAGGTGGAACACCTGCTGTTGGCTTGTTTTTCTTTCACAGATTAGATTTTAACATATCTAAAGTAAATTGATTTGCCAGTGAGTGCCATAATGTCGGTGGAAACAGGACGTTTGTTGGTCCTACATCAGCTGTGGAGGACGATGCTTGACCTACTTCCCTCTTTTATTGTCCTGTCTTGTTCCCTCTCTCAGATTCAGGGTCCCATTGACTTCATAAAAAGAGTCACAGTCACTGTTTCCTTGGTGACCAAAGACCTCCCACACCGGCCTCACCCCCACTGCCTTGTGGGTAAAGACTGCCCGAATGGTTCAGGAATCTGTGTGGTCACGTTCAACCCTCATAGCAACCGGCGTCACAGGTGCACATCCATGTCTCATTTATCTCTCTCCTAGCAACGTCATATGTACGAGATAAGTTTCTTCTTTAGCTGAGATTCTAATATCATTATATCTTTTCAGCTTTTACAATGTCCTGACAAAAAAATATCCTGACAAAAAATGTTTTTGTTTCATAACCTGTTTTAACTTGCAGCTTTGCTAACCTTGGTATCCAGTGTGTGAGGAGGAAAGAGCTCGACCTTTCACTTCAGAAAAGAAGTAGCCAAAATATTGACCCCTTTAAAAGTGAGTGGGATGCTAACACACACACACACACACACACACACACACCTAATCATAGCTTTCTATACATCCATCTATTTATATAGGTTCTTCACTGTGACTCCTCGTATCAACTGATTTTGCATCTTTTCATCCCTTAGCCGGTCACTCAAAGGGCATTGAAGACCTGGACATGAATGCAGTGCGTCTGTGCTTTCAGTGTGAGCTCGAGTGGGAGGACGGCAGAAAGGACAGTCTCAGCCCAGTGGTGTCGAGTACGATCTATGACAAGAGTAAGACATTGCCAAACAGCATTTGAGCATTTACAACTCTTGACCACAATGTGCTGTAACCGGCTGCACCAAAAATGTATTTCCTGATTGTCACATACTTTTGCATGTCATTTGTTTTTTTTTCTTTCATAGAGGCCACAACTACATCGCAGCTGAAGATCACCTGTTTGAACCAGTACAAAGGTCCCTGCACTGGCAAGACTGAGATCTATATGTTGTGTGACAAAGTGCAGAAAGGTGAGAGGAAAACTAAAAATATTTACATATTTTATAAAAGGTCAGAATCAGTAACATGAGGGCTTGACCAATATTTAAGACGTTTCTTAGTATATTTTTTGACCTTTTGAAGGCCTTTTTAGAGGAAACTGAAATCAGTTGTCTTTTTAAGGCCAATAACCTGAAAAATATTGGGTTCTCATGTCAGCTTTGGTGATAATTCTTAGGTCATTTTCTAATTTTTCTTAATTAACACTGCTCTCTCCGTTATCACTGATCCACAGATGACATAGAGATCAGATTCAGCCGAGGATCGTGGAAGGCAAATGGGGAGTTTGCCCAGACAGACGTGCACAGACAGATTGCTATTGTATTTAAGACTCCGCCCTACCAGGACCAGAACATCACAGGGGAGGTTGACGTCAATGTCGCCCTACGGCGCATCTCAGACCAGATGGAGAGCGAACCTGTTACCTTCACGTACTTGCCATACAACCCAGGTCAGTCGGAACTGTAGGACGCTGAGCTGTCTGGTCTTTGGGGTCATTGTACTCCTGTCATCATTTTAAATCAGTTTTTACATGGTACTGACAGCTAAAAGGCTTAAAGTTACATGTTATAAAGAAGCTGCAGCAGATCATTTTGGCCAGAAACAATAACAGGATATTTATTTAAGTATTTCCAAACTGTTTCTCATTTCAGATCCATATGAGGTGAAGCGGAAATGTAGAGTAAAGTCGGAGATCAGTTTCAGAGAGAAACCTTGTGTAACAGGTGGGGCTTGGATCTCGTCCTTTCTTTTCTTTCTTTCAGTTAAATTTTTTTATTCATGTTTACTTTTTCTGGTATGTGGAAGCAGTTAGGGTAGTTTAAACTGATTAAATGAGGCAAGTGGCCTTTGACATTATAGGATTGTTTGTGTAGGTATTTTTCACAGCAGACATTTTGACTTGTCATAGAAGGAAAAGCACTGGTGTTGCTAATAGCGTTAACAATAAGGACATGAGATCGTAGACGTTTGTTGTGCGTTTTCAGACCGAGGAATTGCTCACACTGCAAGACAATAATAAATAAGACAATTAATCGGGCATCTGTACACCCCTCATACCGCACACCACAAAACAGCAAATCTTCTACCCGATTCTAAAATTAGTCAGGGGTGACTAATTCAGGGCTAAGATCCGTGTCTGCCCAGATTCCGTGTCCCAGTAAGCCATGACAGTGTGACAGACACACACAATGCCTGCACCCTGAAACTGAAGCAGCTAAATTCAGCCTTCATTAATTGTACTATTTACACCTGTGCTCCCTATGAAAAAGGCCTATTGCGCATGCTCACTCACTGGCTTGACATCCCGGGAAACCTTAAATGAAACGGAGTCATTGCTCATGTTACTAATTACAGCATGAATTACACCATTACTCCAGTACTTTTCAGTACTATAGCATGTCCAAATGTCTGCTGTAAAAAAGGCCTATTAGAAGTCTTTTTTTTTTTCTTTCCTTGGATAAATATCGGTGTCCACACCTAAATTAATGTGTTGTTGTGTTTTTCAACACACAACAATTATAGGCTTTTAAAAAGATCCATAATGCCCACCAAAAAAATTGGGTTTGAATTAAATTAGACATGAATTTGAATAAATGATACATGAATGAAGACTGTCTCATACAGATAATGTGTGTGCTAGGCTTATTACAATAACGTAAAATAAGAAACTCTCATATGAAATGTCCAAGATGCTTAATATACATATATATGCACAGAGTTACTACATACAAAGTAAATTCTAATATACATACATACTGAAGTACAAATAACAATCAATGTATTTAACCGTACAGCAGTATATTTACACTCAATTTATTAGGTACACGTGGCTAAAACTAACCACACTCATTGGTATAAAAGAGGACAAAATATTCCTGTCAGTGTAATGCATTACAATTTAACTGCACCAACAGCTTCCTAAAACGGTTTAAACTAAAACCGAACATTATAATCTTCATGATTTGTTGTAGCATTATTCTCACAGGTATTTATTTTCTCTGTAACACAATCTGTTTCTTCTTCTGCACCAGAGCCGTCCTTCCACTTCCCGCAGCCTCAAGGGGCAGCATGTTACAACGTGCCCCAGGACACAAACAGCCGCACTGATGACGCAGCCCTCCTTAATCACTTGCTAGAAAATCCTGCATTATGGGAAGCGATTTGCGACCCCAACACTGACATGCCCTGTGAGTTTGCGGAGGACCCCGATGGCAACTCCACGTTTGCCAACATGGATATGAACTTTAACCACAACTTTGGCTCATACACTCAGGACTTTTCCCAGTTCAGCGACCTTCAGTTCAACATGCTCGTCAATGAGAACCAGACTCCACAGTCAGAGCCACAGGACAGCCTGTCCAATGCGGTTCAGGTGAAGAAAGAAGAGACGCTATGAAGGAGAGATAGTCTAAAGCTCACTAATTAATACATAACTCTGTGCAAGAAATGCCAACATATGTCTTTAACCTTTCCGGGTTTAGTGCCACAAAAGATCATTTCTTAAATCCGAGATGAAGCAAAATGTTTCCTTGCTTGCATTTGTCAATGTATTTGTAGATATGGTAATATGGTTTCACAACTCTGCTCTGTTGTCCTCTCTTTAACCCCATATCTTTATTGTTGCCTGAAAGCCTCGCTGGTCAAGGCTTTAGCAATCGGGAGCAAGTTAACATTCCTAAATGTTTGTCCATGAATGCTGCTAGCAGTAATTTTAAGGCTCAAGGTCATAAGAAGGTGATTCGCACAGTACGAGTGGAACTTTAAAAAGAGAACTCATGAACTTCTCTCTTTAACTTGGGAACAGTAGAAACCCTTCTGTAAATTACTCTCTGTTGTATTGTAAGTGTAATGTTTGTGTGAGATCTGTTTTGTTAACTCAATAACAAGCTGAATCCCTACTAGCTGTCTGAAAGGATTTTAGTTTTACAACACAAAAAACACAGTAGTTTCAGATCTGTTCTTCACAATATTCTTGTTTGTTGTTGTGTCACACCAGCTGGCTTGTTTAATATTTAATCCACTTAAGAGCAATAGAAACCAGTCTTCCTCCTTTTCATCGTTCTCTCTGTGTCACTTCCCTTTGTTCTGTAGTTTCACTCTTGTAGTGTTTCAAATTTCTGCTCACACCTCGTTACATGTCCAACTCCGCCCCCTTTGCTGTGACACTGAAATGTAAATATTTCCAAGACAAAATAAAATGTTCATGTGTTATTTTTGTCTTTTTGTCATTACTTCCTCAGAAACTGCTTTTGTGATGATTGGATAGATGTCAAAAGAAACTAAGGATTGTAGAGAAAAAAGACAAAAGGGATGTTGATACTTTTGAATCGGACCTGTCCTTATCTGCCTGCCCACACACATTCCAAACCTGCTCACTCACTTTTAAAAAATAATGAATCTTGGCAACAACAATGTGTAGAAGATGATTTTATGCTTGTCACATATTGGCTTTAAATGTAAGCAGTGTCATATGAGAGAGGCTCAGAATTAAAAGTGTCTTTTGTTGTTTTTTTATTGAATGCTTTGGGGTGTGTTTAGCCATAGCATCTTTACCATTCAAAAGTAGGCTACTTATGCCTGGGTATTCTTAAAAACTTGTATGTCACATTTTACAGTAATCCAATCTCTAAGAAATCTCTTATTTCTCCTTTCCCCTTAGGTTTTTTGTGGTCTCTGCTGAGTCACCCAGTCTTTGGAAAGGCCACATGTTCTTTGTGAAACTTGTGAAGCCACATTTTTTACAAATGGAGACATATTGGCTAAATGATTATTTTCAAAACCTTTCATTTGAAAATGTCAAATGATTAATCATTTTGAAAATAATTTTCGGTATACTTATACTTCTTACTTCTTACCTTACTTCTATACTTCTTTTACTACATTTAATTGATAACTTAAATTACCTTGCAGGTTAAGATTAATAATAGAAAATTCTGACGTATTGTAGAGATTTACATAGAGTGAAATTTATAAGCAACCCAAAAGCATTTAAAACAATAAAAATGTGTTTATTATGATATTAACATATTAATTGATCAATAATTATATATATATATGTTATAAAAACGACAGAATAGTAAGGCATAAAAAGTCATAAAAAAGTCATAGTATAGTAAGGAATAAAATTGACATAGTACAGTAAGGTATAAAAAGTCATAAAAATGACAGTATAGTGTGGCATAAAAAGTCATAGTAAGGCATAAAAATTCATAAAAACGAAATAGTATAGTAACGAATGAAAAAGTCACAGTATAACAAGGCATAAAAACGACAGTATAGTAAGGCATAAAAAGTCATAGTATAGTAAGGCATAAAAAGTCATAAAAACGACATAGTATGTAAGGCATAAAAAGTCAAACTATAATAAGGCATAAAAGGTCATAGTATAGTAAGGCATAAAAAGTCATACTATACTCATTGTATACTAAGGCATAAAAAGTTATAAAAAAATCATAGTATAGTAAGGCATAAAAAGTCAAAAAAGTCATAGTAAGGCATAAAAAGTCATAAAAACGACATAGTATAGTAAGGCATAAAAATGTCAAAGTATAATAAGGCATAAAAACGAAAGTATAGTAAGGCATAAAAGGTCATAAAAAGTCATTAAAACGACATAGTATAGTAATGCATAAAAAGTCATACTATAATAAGGCATAAAAAGTCATTCATAGTAATTAGTAAGTCATAAAAAGTCATAAAAACGACATAGTATAGTAATGCATAAAAAGTCAACTATAGTAAGGCATAAAACGTCAAAAAAACATCATAGTATATTAAGGCAATAAAAAGTCATATAAAAACAAACATAGTATGCTAAGGCATAAAACAACAGAGTATAGTAGGTCATAAAAATGCCAAAAAACAACATAGTACAGTAAGGCATAAAATTGACAAAAACGTCATAGTTATAGTATGCATAAAACGTCAAAAAACATCATAGTATATTAAACCATAAAAAAGTCATAAAAACAACATAGTATGCTAAGGCATAGAACAACAGAGTATAGTAAAGTCATA